CCTTCTCCCCAGCCTAGCCTCTGACAGCAGCTCCCCACGTGACATGGGAGCCTGCAGCCTCTCCCTCCGTGTGCCCTGCCCTCGTCCTGCACGGTCCAGCATGCTTTTTGTTTGTGGAAGTTGCAGTTACTGGGAAGGGTGTGCCCGGTCCCCTCCTCGTGCCCAGCCTCCCCCCTTGTCCTCTGATTAGCCTCTCAGGCCAGTGTCAGCGGAGCCCAGAGCATGCTCAGCCCGTCCAGGAGTGTCCCCGTCAACAGAGCAGACCAGAGGGGCAGCTGCCAGGGACAGGATGTGGGACCCCACTGGGCCTGGGCCCCTGGCGACTCTCAACTTTCTGCCTTTTCCGTGCCCCGGGTCATAAGTTCCTCTCCCAGGCAGGAACATGGGCAATAGTAGCTGCTGCTCTTGAGTCAGACCCTCCTCAGTGGTTTGGTCCTCAGCGGCCCTGAGGTTGGCGCTGTTGTTTTCTCTATTTGACGGCCGAGGCAGGAGGGCCTGGACAAGTGATGTGACTTGCCCAGGGGTACACAGCTGCCAGTATGAGTCGCTGAGGCCCAAAACTAGATCTAGCTGAGCTCAGGGCCTGCCCTCGACAAGGGGAGCGACTTTGGACCAGCCCCGTGTGCAGAGTGCTGGGCAGGCCTGGACCCCTGGTGGGACAGGTGGGAGGGATGCAGCCCCTGGGAGTGGGAGGCCTCCTGGGATATCTGGGTGTGCACCGGGGAGCCTGAAGGGCCAATGCCTTCCATCCTGCTTTTCCCAGAACCTTCTACCAGGTGCCTCTGTGGGTCTTTGTGTCAGATGCATCCTGAGGCCAGGACCTCAGCCAAGGATGTGCACATACATTCTCTGTGGTGGTTCACACTCTAGTGGGCAGGATGGAGCCAGGCTGAGTCCTGGAGCGACTTGCCTGGAGTCACCCGGTTAGCCCAGCACGCACAGCCCAGTCTCCAGGGCGAGAGTCTCCCTGCTGAGCCCTGTGCTCCCCCTCTCAGGGCCTCTTCTGCATACCCCATCTCACAAGTGTGGGTGGGGCCCAGGAGGGTCAGGGTTGAGTGGGGAATGGGGGTGGGGCACGCAGGAGTCAGCAGTCACGGTCAGCCCTTTCCTTGTCCCCAGGGCCGGTTCACGATCGCAGCCAAGCACCACATCTCCATTGCCGAGATCTATGAGACGGAGCTTGTGGACATTGAGAAGGTGAGTGGGCAGGCCGGTTGCCTGGGTGGGGCTGGGCCAGGGCTTCTCTCCACCTGGGGGAGTCCTCTGGGTCTGAGCATCGAGCATGGGCGCACGACTGGCCGCATCCCTGAGCGGAGCCTTCTCCCTCTCCTGCCTCCCCTCGAGCCTCCTCATGTCTCCCCAGGCCATCGCCCACTACGAGCAGTCTGCAGACTACTACAAAGGCGAAGAGTCCAACAGGTAGCCCTCTCCTGCCCGCCCTAGCCCCTCAGTGACCTGTGGGACCCGCCGCCGCCTCCCCTCACCCCTCCTCCCCACACAGCTCGGCCAACAAGTGTCTGCTGAAGGTGGCTGGCTACGCCGCGCAGCTGGAGCAGTACCAGAAGGCCATCGACATCTACGAGCAGGTGGGGACGGCCCACACGCAGCACAGCGCCTCTCTCCGGGACCCTCCCTTTCCTTCCTCCCTCCCTCCCTCCCCCTGCATGTCCCCCGCATGTTGTTCCCCCACTCTCACCTTGTCCTCAGCCCACGGCCTGCGCTGTCACCACCCTCATTGTGGAGTGCCCCTCCCATAGAGCTCGCTGGAGGGCCTGGGGTCAGGCTGACTCTGAAGAGCAGAGTCCATGATGGCACAGGAAGAACCACGGGGGAGGCTGGAGCGGCCACAGGCAGCACAGGTCCCCGTCCACAGTGGGAGGGAGGGAGTGTCACACGGCCCCCTGTGCCATGTGGGAGGACTGGGTGATGGCCAGAGAAAGGCAGGCAGCTGGCCTCAGTGAGGGGGGCGGGCTCTGCCACTCGTGTTCCCACAGCTCACTGCCCTGTCGCCCCCCGGCGGTCCTGACAGCGCCTACCGTCTCCCCACTGCCAGGCACCTCAGGAGGCCCGCGGACACCTGCCTTCAGCCCCCCACCCCATCACATCTCAGCCACTCACAGCAGTCGCTGACCTCCCGGGCTAGTCCCTAGTTCCCTGCCCCTGGGGCCCTGGGTTAATAGGGCCTCACCCCCAGGCACAGACCCAGCTCCCCAATGGCTCCCCATGGTAGTGACGCATGTTCCCCGGCTGCCTGCTCTCAGCTCACAGGGCCCTCTCTCCATGGTCACAGGTGGGGACCAGCGCCATGGACAGCCCCCTCCTCAAGTACAGCGCCAAGGACTACTTCTTCAAGGCAGCACTCTGCCACTTCTGCATTGACATGCTCAACGCTAAGGTAAGCGGGGCCTGGCAGGCCCTGCCTGGAGCTTCCCTGCACCGGCCAGATGACTGCCCACAGGGCCTCCCTGTGGCTGAGGCGGAGGCCGGGACGAGTCCCTTGTCCTAGGTCACGTGGCTAGTGGATGGCAGCTTTCCAGCTCTCTGGCTCCCAGTGTCATGACCCACATATTCTCAGGGCCTCCTGGCAAGAGGAGTCAGGAAGGGCAGTGGGAGGGGCATGGCCACAGGCGGGGACTGGAGAGTTGGCGCAAGGCTTTGGCTGGTGGAGTCCCTGCTCACTGCCTGGCAGGGCTATGGTGGACACAGCCTTGGGCTGGGTTGAGCGAGGTTCAAGTCCAGCCTCTCCTCCCGCCCATGCCCTGGGCAGGTCCCTGCCTCTCACTGGATGTTTCCCACTTTCACGACGGGGCTCACCACCATTTACCGTTGTCTCAACGTCTGCATGAAGCAGCTGGCCCCAGCGTGGCATAGGGGTGTGCTCGTCTGCCCCCTGCCCTGGCTGAGCCCGGTGGGAGGGCGCACTGGGCGCCTGCCCGGGAAACCTGCCCCGGCCCCTCTGCCAGCCCTCTGCCACTGGACAGGTGCTGAGCTCAGCTCGCAGAGGCACTGCCAGCAAGGAGCCAGACGGCACCTGGGCGGGGGAGGGGTGCGGAGCGCTGACTCAGGGCAGCCAGCCTTCCCAGGTCCCTCCACTGCTGGGCCATGTCTGAGCCCTCTCTCTGTCTTATCCCTTCCCACCCCACCCCCGCTGCCCAGCTGGCCGTCCAGAAGTACGAGGAGCTGTTCCCAGCTTTCTCCGATTCCCGGGAGTGCAAGTTGATGAAGGTATGAGGGAGAGAAAGTAGGGGGGGCAGGGCGGAGGCGCCAGATGGGTCATCCCCAGGGTTCGGCCAGCTCTCCGAGGGTCTGTTTTGTTGTGTTTTCTTTCTTCTGCCACTTGGGTCTCCATTCTGTCGAAGAGAGAAATGCAGTTGAGACTGATGAAGCTAGAGACGGGTTGGGAGGTCTTGCAGGCACAGGCACACTCACCTGTGGCAGAGGCTGCCCGGGAGCAAGCATTGCTGAAGATAGGGTGGAGGAGCTGGAATGCGTCCTTTTCTTCCTCTTGTGGGGGCCGCCACCCCCAGTTTAAGCCACCCAGAGTGTGCTTGGACCCCTGACCCCTTCCTGCCGTGTGCTTGCAGAAGTTGCTGGAAGCCCATGAGGAGCAGAATGTGGACAGCTACACTGAGTCGGTGAGTGGTATGGGCAGGGTTCCTCCAGGGGGCGGGTCCCTGGGCAACTGCTCTTCTCTGACACTCCTGTGAAACACACTCTCTCTTCCCTTGCCGTGGCTGTGAGTGCCTGTCCCCACTTACCCCAGAATCCTCGCCAGTGCCCCAGGAGGTGCGGGCAGTTCTTGCTCTGTAGAGCTGAGTGCAGACCCACATCTGCCCCTGCAGCCCACGGCCTTTGCACCGCCGAGGCCAGGGAACAGGGAAGCCATTTCACAGGGGGCCTTGGGTGACCTGAGGTAGGCCAGGGAGTGAGGAGGTGAGGATGGAGGGGCTGTTTCCCGTTCTGAGAGGCCTCCTGCTTCCCCACTCTTCTGAACCCTCTGGGCTTGATGCGTCCAGCCAGGCACTGAGTCACTCCTGGACAGCACGTGTCAAGGGTGTGCCCCGGGTGCCCCTCAGGAACATGGGCCCGTAAGTGAGGGCAGAGACAAGACACTGCAGGACCCTCCTTCCCGGACAGCGGGCAGCCAGCTGGACGTTCAGCTTGGGAGCTGGGGGAGTGCGGTTTGGTGGGCTTGGCTGTGCTCCCCATGGCAGTCAGGAACAGCCTGGTTCACATCTCCAGGTCTCCGTTTCTCACCATAAAACAAGGAGGCTGGACCTTTTTTTAAGCTACAAGATCTTTTTCCCCAAGGGAAGTGTCATGTGCAGGACAGGAAAGACCAGGGAGCTGCCCTAGCAGGCATCAGCAGCCAGCCCTCCCCCACTGCTTCCTGAGTCTGGGGACCTTGGGCTGGAGGGTGTGGAGGCGGGGAGCCAGCCATCGTGGCATGCCCACAGGTGAAGGAGTACGACTCCATCTCCCGGCTGGACCAGTGGCTCACCACCATGCTGCTGCGCATCAAGAAGACCATCCAGGGTGATGAGGAGGACCTGCGCTGAGTCCGCCTGGCTGCCCTCACAGCTGCCTGGAGGCAGGGCCGGAGCCGGCGAGCTCCTCTCCACTCCTGCCCGAGTCTCAGTCCCAGCAGGTGGGCGGCAGCGAGGGCCAGCGCCACTGTGGGCGCCAGAGGTGGGCCTGCTGGCTGGACAGTTGCCCTCTGTTCTCGCTACATCCCCCACCCCAGCCCATTATTTAAGCCCCCAAAGGTGCCCTCAACCCAGAAACCAGCCGTGCAGAACCCTTGATGCGGGCCTGTGTGCTGTGGGCGCTGCCAGGGGCTTGGGGCCAGTGTCTGGCCCCGCCTCCTGCCCCGCTGGTGGCAAGGCTGCTTCCTGGTTGTGTCTCCTGCTTTCATCCCCCAGTTCTGAGCACCTGTAGCTGCAGCCCACACTTGCTGGCGTGGGCCCTCCCACTCATCCCCGGAGCCTTTGCCTCCTGCAGGCCAACCCCCAGGTTAGACCTGGCCGTGGAGCACAGGGGTGTCCCCACGCCCACCCCACACCTGCTCTGTCCTCAGTGCTTTGAGGTTGTGTCGGCTGGAGGCTGCTGCTGGCCCAAGGAAGGAAATAAAAAGCAACACTTTTGCATGAGTCTCTTCCTCCTCAGCTTTGCTGCCCTCCTACCCTCCCTCCCGTCTCCCCTGGGGCTCTGGGGCCTCAGGCAGGCTTGCCCTGAAGCGTGAGCTGGGCCAGGTCTGGGGAGACCAGGGCGCTGGGGAGTCCCAGAAAACGAGTCTTAATCCAGCTTCTTTGGAGTCCAAGGCCTCAGCTTTCTCCAAGGAAGGCATGGAGAGCCTCCCTCAGAGCCCACGGGAGGACCAAACACAGTAGTTGCCGTAGCTGCCTTGGTTGAGGAGGGTGGAGGAGACCCGCTGTGCTCCTGTCCTCACTGTGTCCACGTTTCCCTGGAAGGCAGCCCGATCACCCTGGGGGCAGGTGTCCATCTGTCAGATGGGGAGGAAGCGGCTCTGTGGGCAGTCTGAAGCCCGCGCGGGCCTGGAAGTGGGCAGGAGCCTTTGCTGGGAGAGGGGGCAGCCATGATGTCAGGCTTCCGGGCCTCACCCCAGCCCTGGGCTGGGCCCCGCGCTGTGCAGTGACGGGGCTGGAGGGCTGGAGGAGGCAACCTGTCACAACATGATGGGGCCTGTGGGAGGGGAGGGGAGCAAGGCAGTCCCTCGCAGAGGAGCGGCTGCCTGGAGACCTCGGATCCTGGGGTGAGTCGAGCGGAGGCCGGGGCTCCTTCCCAGGCTGACGTATAGTGACCTGTCAGCCCCTCCCACAGCCCCAGTCCATAAGGGCTGCCCAGAGCCCGTGAAGACCCTGAGACCGAAGGCTGATGGCCAGTGTCTGTCATGGGCTGGCGGGGACAGTGTGAGAATCTGCTTCTACCCTCCGTGACCTGCCTCAGCGATCCTCGGCCGGGGCTGTGCTTGACGGCCGTTAACAGTACTCGGGCTTGGCCACACCCCGAGGAGCGTGCTGGCCGAGGGTCCCTGCCCCTTGACGTTGACGTGTGGGAAGATTCCTTGGGTGGGCCAAGCATGCGGCTAGGGCGCGAAACTGGACGATGCCTGCCTTCCTGGCCGTGACTTCATCCGCTGGCTCATTCACTCGGCAGGTGATGACAATGAGTGAACGCGGGTGACCGCGAGGGGCAGCAGCCTGAAGAAAAGGCGCCTTAGAAGTGTGTAGGGTTGGACCCGCGTGCTGTGCCCTCAGTGAGTATTCCTAAGCACCTACTGTGTGCTGTCCTGGGGACACAGCAGCAGACAGCTGTCCCTGGCCTGCCATCCAGGAGCTCTTACACACCGAGCCCAGACATCTGGAGGTATTGCAGACGCCTCACCACCCCATATCTGGTCGCCTTTGGGAACTTTGCATCTGCCATCCGAGCAGCAGCATCTGGGTGCTTGGCACACAGTGTGTGACTTGTGTGTTTGCTGATGCCGGCTTCGTGTCAGGCCTTGTGGCTGGGAGCTGGGGATGCGGCCATGACCTAGGGAGACACACTGCCTTCATGGAGCTGCAGTTGGGGTGTGTATGTGGTGTTTTCTTTGTGCAGAGAGATTAGATCACTCAAGGTGGCCAGGACAGTTAGCCAACCCATGTCTTCTGGAAATGACACACATGTGCGGCATCCTCAAACTTTCGTGTTCCTCTAGGGAAGCACACGGGAACTCCCAGAGGCCTTGGAATCAGAAACACCTGGCTTACTCCTGTCCCCACCAGTCACTAGCATATTGAGCAGGGGACTTACTCCCCGTGAGCCTCAGTTTCCTTCTCTGCAAACTGGGACAATAAGACTCATTGAAGGGTTCTTGCAAAGATTTAGTGAGATAGATTTGTAAAGGATGTCCTGGCTTACAGTAAAAGCTCAATAACCGCCAAATAAATGAATTGAGGTGGGGAGTGGATAACAATAGACCCCTTGTGGAGTGGTTATGAGAAATCAAGATACCCAGGGCCAAAGTGACTGTCAGATGAAGGAAGTGGTGGTGATTTGCCAGGACAGATGCTAGACCTTTTCTTTCTTGGGATGAGTAGAATGTATTTCACTATTTTAAATGTGTTATTGTTAAAATAATGAACTATAGAGTTGCTCTGTTTGGGTTCCAATACTGACTGCTTCTGACTAGCTGTGTGATCTTAGGCAAGCTACTTTACCTCTCTGTGCCTGGATTCCTTCACCGGTAGGCGAGTTTTGAACACATGGTTCTTAGAGGGAATGTGCTTAGAGTAGTTCCCGGCATTGAAAGGACAATATTAAGCTTTACGATTATTATGAGTCTACCCCCACACTGTATGTAGCGGAGGGGGCCTCCACCTGCCGTCTCCGGTCACAAGCCCCTGCCCTGGTACCGAGAAGGACTGGGGAAGAGCGCGCAGGCGCAATGGGGCAGTCTCATGGGCGGCCAGGCCGCCATCTTGGAAAAGGGCAGCGAGGCCGCTTCCTTACGTCATCATCCTGCGCGACGGGCGGGCACCCGGCGCTTCGGGTCGCCTCAAGAGCCGTGGGCGGGGAAGGACGGGTCGCGGCGGTGACTGCAAGAAGGGTGAGCGGCCGAGGGGCGTGATGGGGGAGGCGGCCGTGGCCGCGGGGCCTTGCCCGCTGCGCGAGGACAGCTTCACGCGCTTCTCGTCGCAGAGCAATGTGTACGGACTAGCGGGCGGCGCCGGCGGGCGCGGGGAGCTGCTGGCCGCCACCCTTAAAGGCAAGGTGCTGGGCTTCCGCTACCAGGACCTCCGACAGAAAATCCGACCGGTGGCCAAGGAGCTGCAGTTCAACTACATCCCCGGTGCGTGGCGCCCTGGGCTGGGGGGGGCGGGAGTCGTAGTGTTGAGAAGGCTTCAGAGGTTCTGTCTGAGCCGGGTCGCCACGGTGGGAGAATGGGGTCTGGGTGATCGAAGGCGGTCAAGGGTGATGAGCTTGGGGGGTCAGGGGCCGGGACAGTTGGGGCCTGCAAGTGGTTAGGGTTTCAGGATTCCTCAGACTTAGAGTCAGGATCCCTGGTACCCAGGGGTCAGAGGTCATGGTGATGGTGACCAGGACTTGTTGGGACCCAGAGGTCACGATAATGGCCCCTTGTTTTGGGGGATATCGGGGTCACGCCCGAGACGCGAACTTTGACTCTCCCCTCCCAGTGGACGCAGAGATTGTCTCCATCGACACCTTCAACAAGTCGCCCCCAAAGCGGGGCCTGGTCGTGGGGATCACGTTCATCAAGGTACCCAGAGCCCCCTCCACCCACCCACTCCCATGGCGGGTCCCACCGAGCCCTCCTGCTGCCCCTGCCCTCCCCTGAGGCCAGCATCCTCCCCCAGGATTCAGGGGACAAGGGAAGCCCCTTCCTGAACATCTACTGCGACTACGAGCCTGGCTCCGAGTACAACCTTGACTCCATTGCCCGTGAGTGCGGCCCAGAGGGAAGGAGGACGGGAGGCGGGCCTGGCAGACGCCCCATGCCCACCTGCCTGTGCTCCTCTTGCAGAGAGCTGCTTGAACCTGGAGCTCCAGTTCACTCCTTTCCAGCTGTGCCACGCAGAGTGAGTGTCCCCTGGGCCCTCACGCCCACCCACTCTAGACATAGGGACCCTGGGTTCTCGGACGCCTTTCTTACAGACCCCCCCGAGAGTCTTTTTCCCCTTCTGGAAAACAAAGGAGTCCTACTGAGATTGAAAACTGAACTGTCTTGAGGAGGCCGGAAACAGTGGCTCATGCCTGTCATCCCAGCACTTTGGGAGGCCAAGGCGGGAGGATCACTTGAGCCCAGGAGTTTGAGACCAGCCTGGGCAACATAGCGAGACCTTCTGTCTACAAAAAAAATCAGAAAATTTGCTAGGTGTGGTCACACATGCCAGTGGTCCCAGCTACTTGGGAGGCTGAGGCAGGAGGATCACCTGAGCCCAGGAGGTCCAGGCTGTGGTGAGCTGTGGTTGTACCACTATCTTCTGGTCTGAACATCAGAGTGAGACCGTGACTCAAAAAAATAATAATAAAATAAAACATCTTTAAGGGCCAGAGAGGTAATGTGGTGGTGAGTAGCCACAAGTCTGATACACTAGCAAGTGTGTGTGTGTGTGTGTGTGTGTGTGTGTGTGTGTGTGTGTGTAGGTGTAAGGTCAGAAGGCTATAGCTAATGGAAACCACAGACTTATCTATAGACAATTAGATTCTGGTTTTGCTTTTTAGAGCATCATGCTTTTCAGGTGGCCATGAACAGGCGGCTGAGGGGCCACCACTTTGCTGTTCTGGAACTAGATCATCCGAGAGAGTTAATTGATCATGTACGTTCTAGACTTCTAGAATTCCCAGATTCTAATGTTCTAGATTCTGGCCTTCCAGGATCAGGAGGCTAAGTCTTCTGGAGCTGCAAGTGCTAAGATTCCAAGGCTTGAATGTTCTGCAGTTTGATGGAAGCCAGACTTGTCTGCGATTCTGCAGTGGCTACGTCCTAACACTCATGTACGAGGAGGCAGAACGTGGGGCTCTAGACTGGGCTCGTGATCCAGTCTAGAGCTCCAGTTCCATTCCAGAACACCAGCTCTGGTAAAGGTCCAGATAGTAAATTATTAGGCACCGGTGGCTAGACAGTCTCAGTCACAGCTACTCACCCAACTCTGCTGTCGTGGCAAGAAAGCAGCCATCAGTTCTGTGTCAGTGAAGGGGCATGGCTGTGTTCCAATAAAACTCTATTTACAAAAGCATGTAGATTGTAGGTTGGATTTGGTCTGCAGGTCATAGTTGGCCAAACTCTGGTCTAGTAGGTGAGAGTTCCAGAAACTGAAGATTTGACTGTGCTAGGGTTCTAGATGCTAGGATTTGGGTGTTCTGCTATCCTGTGAGTCTGGAGATCCCTGATGGCAAATTTCTTTTTTTTTTTTTCTTTTTGTTTTCTTTTTTTGAGTCGGGGTCTCACTCTTGTCACCCAGGCTCGAGTGCAGTGGCACGATCATGGTTCATTGTGATGACAAATTCTAAAGGTTCCAGTATTTAAAAGGAAAGCAGAAAACAACTTCTAGAATACCAGGGTTCCAGACTGTAGCAGTTCTACCGTTCTGAGGTTCCGCAGCTTATTCTAGAGTTCCCTGTTCCATTCTTGAACCAACAGTGAAGATATGAGTGGGCCAGGGTCTCTAGAAGCAGGAGGTTCCAGCATGCTGCGTTCCTGCAGTTCTGAGACTGAAAGTTCTTTGGTTCTGTGATTGTGCGTCTGTGAGGGCTGATTTCCATGGGGGTGCATTTCAAGGAGACAGAGCTCTGAGCTTCCAGTCGTGGGGCCAGTGTCTGGATCCTGGGGTGCCAAGGTTCTCACAGGCAAGGGGCTTTGCAGAATGGGGGCTCTCGGACACACGGATTCCCCTCCCTCGGGCTCTGCCATACTGAGGTCTAGGTTTGTCTGCCTTCAGGGTCCAGGTCGGGGATCAGCTGGAGACTGTGTTCCTCCTCAGTGGGAATGACCCGGCCATTCATCTCTACAAGGAGGTGAGGCGGGGCACACGTGCTGTATTGCCCTGCCGGGGTCACCACGGGCTGGTGTGGGGCACTCGCCAGTGGCTGGTGGCTGACCTGAAGGGGGCGGGTCTTGGTTCCCCCAGAATGAGGAGCTGCATCAGTTTGAAGAACAGCCCGTGGAAAACCTCTTCCCAGAGCTCATAAACCTGACCAGCAGGTAGGAGAGACCCCAGAAGAGGCCCCTGGGGACCAGGTGGTGACCTCAAGGCCAGCAAGGGTTGCAGATGACCTTAGAGAAATTGGGCATTGGAAGAGAGGTCAGAAAAGTCACCCACAGCGTGACTTGAGAGAAACTGACCAGCAGGGGCGACACCAGGGAAAATGGGAGGCTCAGACTCAGCTATTGGGTGGCGGGAATTGACCCCCAGAGAAATTGGGCTGTGGGAGTGCCTCAGAGGAAGACAGCGGGTAGCCGGGCAGCAGGGAAGGGTGGGTGCTCCTGGGGGGGCAGAGGTGTGGGGCTGGCACCCAGCGGTGGCCCTCGGTACTGTCCACCCGCCCGCCCACCAGTGTCCTCTGGCTGGATGTCCACAACCTCCCCGGCACCTCCCGGCGCCTCACAGCTCTGGGCTGTCAGAGTGGCTACGTCCGCGTTGCCCACGTGGACCAGAGGAGTCGAGGTGAGGGTTCGAGCAAGACAGGGGCTGAGGGTGGGAGTGGGGCTCTGAGTCCTTGCCACACAGAGGTGGAGCGGGGTGAGCCGGGGGCTGAGGGCAGGGGCAGAGCCCTGAGTCTCCTCTCCACGCAGAGGTTTTACAAACATGGACGATCCAGCAGGATGGCCCCATCTCCCGAGTGATCGTGTTCAACCTCTCAGCCCCTGAAGGTGAGCCCTGGGATGGAGGAGGCAGGGAAAGGTGGGAGCGTGTAGGGATGGGGAGGGTTGGGAGGCAGGGGGAAGCAACTCTGCGTGCTTGGCCCCCCCAACCCAAACGTGCGGCCCCTCCCCAAGCGTCCAGGCCCGACCGTCCTCCCTCCTGCCCATCCGTCCTCCCGTGCTACCACCCCAGCCCGTGAGCCCTAGCGTGCCTCTCCCCTCTTCCCTGCTCTCCCAAGTCTAACTTCCAGCCTGGCCCACGTGTCTAACCCAGACCTTTCTGTTAGGGCCCATGTTTGTTCTCCCCACATTGGGCTAACCTTAGACCCTCACCTTGGAGTTGACCTTCCCCCTTGCCCTCTGTGGTCTGACCTTCACTCCTCACATTATGACTTACTCTGACCCCCTCTGGTCTCTTCACCGTGTCCCTTGCTGCAGTCTGACCCCAGGCTTCTCTCGGGAACTCACCACTGCCCCACCATTCAGGGTCTGACCTTGCCCCACATATTGATTGTTGCTGTTCCTTGACTCTTATCTGTCCTTGCCTGGCGCTCACCTTGACCTGGCCTCTGACCTTGCCCTCTGTCCCTTAGGTTGGGTTTCCCTCTTATGCCCCACTGTGGTATCTTCTCTGACCCTCCCACCATGGTCTAACCTCAGACTTTTCCCTTCCTGTCTGACCTTTGTCTCTCTCCCACCATGGTCTAATCTCAGACTCTCTAAACTGTCGTCTCTCACCTGTTTCTCCAAGTGTCTGACTTCAGTCATTTCTCTCATGGTCCAGCTTCGAGCTTTCCTTCTGTAACACAACCTCAAGGCTCATTCCTGAGGTCTCATCTGTGTTCCTCTCACTGGAGGGGCAGGGCTGTGAGGAGGAGCCCGGAACCTGTCCCCCTCCGTGTTCCCTCTCCAGAGCCCAGGGACGGGCCACCACGGGAGGAGTTCAGCCTGCTCGTGGCCAGCATGTTGGAGCCAGCAGTGGTGTATCGGTGAGGAACCTGGGCCACGTGGGCGCGGTCTCGCCTCAGGTCTTGGCCCCATGGTCTAGCCTCATCATTCTCAGCAGCAGAAAGTCCCTTTGGACGGACCAGTCAGTGCTGGGCGAGTAAAGATATGTGTCGTGACCTGGGGAGTGGGTGCTGTGAGTGTTTAAGCGTAGATCTTGGAGGGAACACACTGAGGCGTGGGCTGAGAACAGGGACGTCCACACCCGGAGCGGGTGGACTAGGTGTGCTGGCACAGGGTTCCTCACCGGCCGTGTGTGGGAAGGCTGGCTGTGGAGTGTCTGCCAGTATCCGTGGTGTAAACACTCCCACCAGGGGGGATTGCGGGCTGCCAACACGGTGCTGAAGTTGCGGAAAACTTCCCAGTCTGCTCCTGGGTGCTGCTGTGGCTGACCCCAGCACCCCCCGGTGGGCAGCAGAGGTGTCCAGCTGGGGCCCCATGGCTGTCCAGATTGAGCAATGTGAGCTCCCATTTGGAGTGAGATGGCCCCCGAACTGGACAATGCCCAGGATGACCCCTCGCAGGCTCTGAGGATGTCCAGTGGGAACGAGGGTGTCTCGGCCTCAGGGGGAACGGCGTGCCTGGGCCCCAGCTCGGGATCTGCCACCAAGGGTGGTGGGCACTGCAGCCCAACTTCAGTCTCTGCTGCCCTTGGGACCCTCAGGGACCTGCTAAGCCGGGGCTTTGAGGACCAGCTTCTCCTGCCCGGCAGTGACCAATTCGACAGCGTCCTCTGCGGCCTGGTCACCGACGTCGACTTGGATGGGCGGCCGGAAGTCCTGGTGGCCACCTACGGACAGGTGGGACCCGACGGGTGGGGTCACCACCCCCCTCCTGTGTCCCCTGCCGACTTGTGTGACCGTGAGCCCTCGCCCTGCAGGAACTGCTCTGCTACAAGTTCCGGGGTCCGGAGTCAGGGCTCCCTGGGGCCCAGCAAGGGTTCTGCCTGCTCTGGCAGCGCAGCTTCTCCAGCCCCCTGCTGGCCATGGCGCATGTGGACCTGACCGGCGATGGGCTGCGGGAGCTCGCCGTGGTCTCCCTGAAGGGCGTGCACATCCTGCAGGTAACTGGTCTGGAAGCAGAGGTGCGGCGGGGGAGGGGGGCTGCGCCCCTCCCCTCCGAGGGCACATCTGATGGGAGGGAGAGGAAGGAGGGGCTGGCCAGGCCAGGGGTGGGGGGAGCCCAGCTTCAGCCGGTGTCTTGCCTTCCAGCAGGCGTCATGGCTGCAGGTCATCTCCGGGAGCGGGAGGGACTTTTTCCTGTGGGCCAGGGCAGCTCCCAGGGGCAGGGGCTCTAACAGCTGGGGTGGGAGCACCCGCCGGGTGAAGATCACCTCTGCCCCCCCCCCGCCTACCCTCAGTTTCCAGAAAGCCTTCCTATAGAGTCTGTCCTTTGTTCCTCAAGCTGTTTCTAACTCTGTCCTTTGCTGTGGCTTCACTGGCGATCTGCCCCACCAGGGTCTGGCCTTTGCCCTCTGGGTCAGTGGTGAGGTACACCTTCTCACTACAGCCAGCCCTGTCTTCTGCATCTTTGTCTGGCCTCACTCTGGCTGTGGTCTAGTCTCCAACCTGCTGCTGGGTGTCTGACTTCCAAGTCCTGCAACAGATTCTCCAGTCCTCCTTCTAAGCCAGTTTTCAACTTTCTGCTGCCGTCTAGCCTTGAACACTTTTACTTTGGTCTAGCCTTGAAACTCTTGAGCTGTTTTTTGAGTTGGGATCTCACTCTGTTCACCCAGGCTGGAGGGCAGTGGCACAATCATGGCACACTGCAGCCTCCAACTCCTGGGCTCGGGCGAGCCTTCCACCTCAGCCTCCCGAGTAGCTAGACTACAGGCACGCACCACCAAGCCCAGCCAATGTTTCGTAGAGGCCGGGTCTTGCTCTGTTGCCCAGACTGGTTTCAAACCTCTGAGCTCACGCAATCCTTCTGTCTCGGCCTCCCAAAGTGCCGGGAGTACAGGTGTGAGCCACTGCACCCAGCCTAGCCTCTCAACTTTCCATTGAGGTCAAGCCCTTGAGCTGTGGTCTAACAGCCAGCCTCTGCTGGACTGTGATCTCCGACCCTCCCACAGCCGCCTGACTGCCATTACCCCTATCATGGTGTAACATCCAACCATGCAGATGGCCCAGGGTCCAGCCTTGGATGCTCTACTGCAGTTTAGCCTCCACCAGCTGTAGTCTGGCCTCTGGCCCTTTCCCCATGTCCCACCCTCAGGCTGTAGTGGACGTTTGTTTCCTAGCTTTGTGCCTGCCTTCTCCTTTCCCCTGGTCTGACTCAAGGATCCTTTGGGGTGTGGGCTAACCTGGGTTCTTACAGGTGAAGCCACAGCCATTTCTATTTGGGTCTAATCTTTGCTGCTTCCGTTGAAGTCTAATCTTCAACAGAATGGTCTAGGTTAGACCTCAGGAGAAAAGATATGGATTGGACCACAGGGGACAGGACAAAGGTCAGACCTGAGCAAAATAGAATGGAGCTAGACCCCAATGGCGAAGACTGAGGCTAGACTGCAGGGGCGGTGCTTGAGGCTAGACCTCCAGGAAATATAACTGAGGTTGGAACCAGTGGAGGGGTCTGAGGCTAGACCCTGGTGGAAAGCCCTGAGGTTAGATCTGTGGGAAGAGACTGTGGCTGTCCTGTGGGAGAAAGGACCTTCCTTGCACTGTGGTCTGGTGATCACAGCATCCCTTGTCACTCCATCTCAAGCCATTTCACTGTGATCTCCTCTGTTCCATTAAGGTCTAGCCTCAGACCCTCGAGTGGGGTGTAGCTCTGCCCCTCACGTTGGGATAGAGTCCTCTGTTTCCCATTTTGATTTGCTGCCTCTCTGCTCCATTGACCTGTCCTTCCCTGCTAGGATCTCGCCTCTGTCCTGCCCGCTCTGGTCTAGCCTCAGCCTCTCTCCAGGAGTCTAACATCACTCCTGTTATAACATAGTCTCTCTTTCATTTTCATCTTTCTCTGTCTCTTCCACTGATGTCCAGCCTCAGTTCCTCACATCTGAGTCTGGGCTTTGTCCCTCTCCCTAGGGACTAGCCCTCGCCCCTGTCACAGAGACCCAGTCCCACCACACACACTGGTCTGCTTTCTGTCCTCCAGCCTTGGCCGAGCTCCTGGCCTTTGGGGTTGCTTGGCTCCAGACTGTCCTACCGTGGTCGAACGGGCACCCCTGCAGCTCTTCCTCTTCCTGTCCCCCCTCCCCCATCTTGTCCCCCACAGCATAGCCTGATCCAGGCCTCAGAGCTGGTCCTGACCCGGCTGCGGCATCGAGTGGAGCAGAGGCGACGTCGGCCACAGGGACTGGGGGATGGGGTGGGCGCGGGGCCTGCAGAGAGCCTGACTTCCTGAGCGCCCGGCACCCACTCTCCGCAGACCCGGGGCAGCATGTGGGATGTCACCTCCTGCTGTTATGGGGGAGTATCCCGAGGGAAGATGCTCTCCCAGACCCCCCAGGCTGGTGAGTGAGCTGTGAGTTCCTGCTCTGACTTCGCACCCTTGTGCCCTGTAGCCCTGACTCACCCACTCTTCTCTGTGCCTCAGTGTCCCTGTTTGAACACAGGATGAGCCCAACCTGCCCTCTCCACTCCCGATGAGAATTGGTCCCCTGATGGTCACGTGTCCAGAGGAACAAAGCTTCCACAGTTGTCTTTGTTCTTTTTTCAGCAAGCTCTTGTGTCAGGCTCTGTGTTGGGCGCTAGGAATCACCCAGAGGAATCGGGGGGTGGGGGCACTTGAGGGAGAGGGAACCCAGAATTAGACCCAGAAACAGGACAGAGGTTAGATCCCAGGGTAGACCTCAAAGGAAAGAAACGAGGTTCGACATTAGCAGAGACACTGAGGTGAAATCTCTGAGAAGTAGAACATGTAAAAGGTAAGGGAAAGGGCTGAGGTCAGACCCCAGCCCCTGCAGAGAGGATTGAGGTTGAACCTCAGTGGAAAGATCTAGCTCTGAGGGTAGACCCCAGTGGAAAGGCAAGGAGGTTGAGCCTCAGAGGGGAGCTTGTGGGTGGAAGGCACCACTGTGGAAATACAGTGGCCCAGTTGGGTCTGCGGCCAGACCCCCTATGAATCGTGCTGAGGTTAGACCCCGACACACAACTGTGGTTAGAACCCGGCAGGAAGTAATCAAGTTTAGGCCCCGTTAGGGACTACTGAGGCAGGACCCAGGCAGGCAGGATCCGGGATATACCATGCTGGAAAGGACTAAGGTCCGACCTGATCTGCAAAGCCCAGGGGATTGGGGATCCCGTGAGTTGGAGACAAGCCCGACCTTCCAGCCAAGGCCGTCGGAATTGCCCCCTCCTCTGTCCCTTCTGGGTACCAGGAGGAGTCTGGAATGACGGCAGTCTTGCCCTGCCCCCGCCACAGGCCAAGGATAGAATTCGGGTCAGCAGGGTTGACGTGATTCCTGAGCAGGATCCAGGCTGGGGGCAGGACTCCTTCCTCCCCGGGGCGGGGGTCGGGTGGGACACCTGCTTCCTGGGGGGAGTCGAGAAGGGGCAGGCGCCAAGGGCATCCTGGCCATCTGTCTGCCTCCTGCCGTGGAAGTCCACCCATATGTCTGGCCGCCGCGCTGGCAATAAAGACTCACCCACCCGTTTTCTAGGTGCATTTTTGGGAGCTGGGAGCCCACCAATTCCTGGCCACCCCTGCCTTCGCCCCCCTTCCCCGAAGCCAGGCCCGGGCGTGGGAAGTGGCAGGGCACTGGATCCGGGCCCTGTGCTGGCAGCAGGCCCGAGGGTGTCCGGCCAGGACTGGCCACGGCTGTGCACAGGGTCTCCCCCCTCCCTTCCGCTGCTGACAAGGAGCGCGGGACACGAGGCTCAGCTCCATCCCCGCCAGTCTGCACCGGGTGGGTTGTGCACCCAGTGGGTGAGCGTGTGTCCCCATGGTGAGCTTGTGTCCGCAGGAGCTCACCTGCCTGGGTCTTTGCCGTGTTCAGCCTGGGCGGTGCGCCCCGCAGCAGGGAAGGCCGTGGCGTGGGGAGCCTTCCTTGCCGCCCTGCGCCTCAGTTTGCCTGTCTCTACAATGGGGCCAGTCGGAGCGTCGGGCTCCCAAGGTTGGCGTCAGGGTGGGTCGTGTCAACGTAGATCAGGCATTTGCTCAGCATGATCGAATAGCGCCCGGTGCGAGCGGCAGCTGCTGTCATCATCATCCACGGTGCCTCTGTGGTTGTCTCTGGCCTTCACGAGGTTGTGTGTGCAGTGTGTGAATTTGGACCGACTCGGGCTAAACATTCTTGCCCTCCCCATAGTTCTGTGGGCCTGGAACTATTTGTAGCTGTTTTTGCATCTTTTGGCCCCTGTGTGGATGGGGGGGGG